ATAAATTGCTCCTCTAAACAGAGGCACCCCGACTTTTGAAAAGTAAATTGCTCCTCTAAACAGAGGTACCACGACTTTGAAAAATAAATTGCTCCTCTAAACAGAGGCATCACGACTTTTGGAAAGTAAATTGCTCCTCTAAACAGAGGCACCACGACTTTGGAAAGTAAATTGCTCCTCTAAATAGAGGCATCACGACTTTTGAAAAGTAAATTGCTCCTCTAAACAGAGGCACCACGACTTTGGAAAGTAAATTGCTCCTTGACAATCATGTCCAAAGGAGTTGAAAATTGTGTTTGAAGAAATTTCAAGAGATTATGCCCAAAGGTCTTATAAATCAACCCTGATACCAAAAGAACATCCTATTTCAAGGATTAGGAACTTACCTGACAAGTTTCTTCTCAAATTTGCAAAATATCTTCATATTGTCTTCTCTATGTGGGATGTTGGAACACCCTGCTTCTTGAATTTATACACTATACTTTCTTGAAAGTAGTGTATGCTATGCAAAATGCCTATGAATTTCAATGCATGCTATGCAAATGTTGGCCAATTAATTTCTGTTCAATATATGGTACTCAAGTTTCTCAAGCTTTTTCTTGGGCATCAAGCCTTTTGATTCTTTAGAGATCCAATTACACTGCTCTTCTAAGATCGAACCAGTATAGCTCTTAATTGTCTCTTCCACTCACATTCTTCCTATAAAAAAAATCTCTTCCTAGATTCAATGTCCTAATCAGGAGCTGAACATCTCGATTCTGCCTTTTTCACTTTTGACTTATTCAATGTAATGTAAAAATCTTTCATGTTGTTATTCATTCATCTATCATTATTTCAAACTCAAAAAGTAAGAATGCATTTGCACATTTCTTCAATGTGGGGTATTAAGAAGAAAAGAATCTGAATGTTGAAAAACAGTCATAAGAAAAAGACACAAAGAATGCAATAGAATGTCTCTTATTAGCAAAATGTTGGCAAACTTTGGCCAAGAAAGAATTACAAGGATAGGTATGGGGATAAAACCCAAAATGAACAATCAAAATAATCTATGGATAACACCATCTCAAAGTCTTATTCTGAAAACTCAACCCTCTCGATGTATTAACAACTTAACTCTTTCGAATTTGCTAGCCTCCATATCAACAGACTTTCAAATTCAATGTTGAATTCTCCTTATCTAAGCTGCTTTTTCAGGTTTTCAACTTAGACAAACCTCCTATGACTCAAACCGCCCTTTTAGAGTTTTCCCCTTGAGTCCTCCTTTTTCACTTTTTCATTTTTTCATTTTTTTCATTTTTTTCATTTTTTTCATTTTTTTAAGCATAGTATTTCTTCACAGCATCAGAATTTATAGGATGGGGTAAATCATTTCTATCCATCTCAGTCAGTATCTGTGCTCTATCCGAAAAAACCTGTTTCACCACATACGGTCATTTTCAATTCTGAGTCCATTTTCCTCTACTATCATGTTGGATTGGAAGAATTCTTTTCAAGACCAACTCTCTTTTTCGAAAGCAACGGGGCTAAATTTTCTTATCATGAGCCCTCATCATTCTTCTTTGATACAGCTGACCATGACACAGTGCAGTCAATCTCTTTTTTTCTATGAAATTTAACTGCTCATAACGTTCTCGAATCCATTCGACTTCTTCTAACTCAATTTCTTTTAAAACTCTCAAAGAGGGGATCTCTACTTCTATTGGTAGTACAGCTTCCATATCATAAACCAAAAAAAATGGGTTGCCCTAGTAGAGGTACGAACTGACGTTCGATATGCATGTAATGCAAATGGCAACTTCTCATGCCAATCTTTATAAGTCTCAGTCATTTTCTCTAAAATCCTCTTTATGTTCTTATTAGCTGTCTCAACTACTCCATTCATCTTCGGACGGTATGGTGCCGAGTTATGATGCTTGATATTGTATTGAGCACATATTTTTTCCATCATCTTACTATTTAGATTCTTGGCATTGTCTGAAATAATTCTCTCCGGAAGTCTATATCTATAGATGATCTCTTTTTTTATGAACTTACAAACCACAGAACGTGTCACACTTGCATATGATGCTGCCTCTACCCATTTTGTGAAGTAATCTATCATCACAAAAATGAATCTGTGCCCGTTAGAAGCTTTCGGGGTGATTGGACCAATGACATCCATACCCCACATTGAGAATGGTCATGGTGGTGCCATAACATGTAAAGCAGATGGCGGAGCATGGATTTTATCAACATATATCTGGCATTTATGGCATTTACGAGCATAATCAATGCAATCACTCTCCATCGTCAACCAGTAATATCTCGTTCACATGATCTATCTTACCATCATATGTCTACTAGTATGTGCCTCACATATTCCATCATGTATCTCTTTAATGATTTTTTTCGCTTCAGTTTCATTTACGCACCTCAATAATACTTGATCCTTGCTTCTTTTGTACAGAACATCTCCATCCAGAAAAAAACTCATAGCCAATCTTCAGATGACCCTTTTATCATTTTCTGTTGCTTGAACTGTGTATTGTTGATCCTTAATATACTGTAGGATGTCATAATACTAGGGCTTTCCATCTTTTTCTCCCTCTATATTGGAGCAATAAGCTGGTATATCGTTAACATCTAACTTGATAGATTGAATGTCGGTATTATCATTAATTCGAATCATTACAGCCAGAGTAGCCAACGTGTCAGCAATCAAATTCTCTTCTCGGGGTAAGTGATCAAACTGGATATCTTCAAACTGTTTCATTAACTCTAGAATATACTTATGATACGAAATGAATTTTGAATCTCTCGTCTCCCATTCTCTTTTCAACTGATATATGACTAGAGCTGAGTCTCCAAACACTTTCAGTACTTTCACTCTTTTATCTATAGCAGCTTGCAAACCTATGACACATGCTTCATATTCAGTGATGTTATTTATGCAATTGAAATTTAACCTCGCTGTTACAGGACAGTATTGTTCTTCTGAAGAAATCAGAATTACCCAATTTCATGCCTCAAGGCATTAACAGCTCCATCAAAGTACATTCTCTAACATTTTCCTACATGTTCCCCTTCTTTTGGTTGTGAAATAATCATTAAGTCTTCGTCAGAGAATTCCAGCTTCATCGGCTCATACTTTTCAATAGCACGATTTGTAAGGAATTCTGTTATAACGTTCCCTTTTATTACTTTTTATCTCACGTATATAATATCGTATTTCAAAAACATTACTTGCCATCTAGCGATTTTCCCAAACAAAGAAGGCTTTTCGAAGATATACTTAATGGGATCTAGTTTCGCTATGAGCCACGTAGTGTGATAGAGCATATACTATCTGAGTCTTTTGGCAGTCCATGCTAATGCACAACATATTTTCTCCAATGAAGAATACTTGGATTCATATTCAGTGAACTTTTTACTTAGATAGTAAATAGCTCTCTCCTTTCGGCTGGCCTCATCTTGCTGCCCCAGCACACATCCCATTGAATTTTCACATACAGTTAAGTATAAGATTAAAGATTTCCCTAGAACAGGTGGCACCAATACTGGAGGGTTCAATAAATATTGCTTAATTTTATCAAACGTCTCTTGACATTCTTCATTTCATTTTTCAAGATTATCTTTACGGAGAAGCTTAAATATGGGATCACATTTGTAAGTAAGCTGAGAGATAAATCGAGAAATATAGTTCAATCTCTCCAGAAAACCTCAAACTTCCTTTGGTGTGCTGGGAGGTGACAAATTTTGGATAGTCCGTATCTTATCTGGATCGACTTCGATTCCTCTTTCACTGACCACAAAACCTAGCAACTTTCCTGACTTTACCCCAAAGGTGCACTTGGCTGGGTTTAATTTGAGCTGAAATTTTCTCAACCTCTCAAATAACTTTCTGAAGCTAGTGACATGATCTTTATCCTCACAAGACTTTGCAATCATATCGTCTACATACACCTCAATCTCTTTGTGCATCATGTCATGGAAGAGCGTTACCATGGCCCTTTGATATGTTGCCCTAACATTCTTTAACCCAAAAGGCATGACTTTGTAACTGAAGGTTCCTCACATGGTCATAAAAGTAGTCTTTTTCATATCATTTACAGCCATTTTTATCTTATTATACCCCGAGAAACCATCCATAAAAGAAAAAATCGAATGTTTAGCCGTGTTGTCTACCAGCGTGTCAATATGAGGCAAAGAAAAGTTATCCTTTGGGCTAGCCTTATTCAAGTCCCGATAGTCTACACACATTCATACTTTTCCATCTTTTTTAGGAATTGAGACTATATTGGCTACCCATTCTGGATACTTAGCCACTTGTAGAAAACCTGTATCAAATTGTTTCTTCACCTCCTCTTTAATCTTTAGTAGCATTTTGGGCTTCATCCGTCTCAGTTTCTGTTGAATTGGCTTACATTGTAGCTTTAAAGGTAACCTATGCTCCACTATTTCTGTGCTCAGCTTTGACATATCCTGGTAAGACCAAACAAATATATCTACAAATTTTCGAAGTAGGTTTGCTAATCGTTGCCTATCTCCAAATGAAAGTGAAGTGCCCATTCTAACCTCTTTTCTTATTTTTTTCATCTCTTAGATTCACTAAGTCCACTACCTCCTGATGCGGCTCAATTGGCTTATTCTCTTGTCAATCATCCTCATTAGGTCCGGAGGTATAACATATTCTTTAAAATTTTTTTCATTGTCAAGTTCATCAGTGTTAATTGAATTCTCAAAGCTAACCTCTTGATTGTTGTCATAATTATCTTCATGTTCATTTAAAGACCTGCAATTGAATGAAATGGGATATGTTGGCAAGAAGCACTTGGAAAAATGGAAATAATGAAGACACAAGAAGAAATGAATGAAAATGCATCCTTCTTAATTTTTATTAAAAATAATAAATGATGAATGGCCCAAACAAAAAGATCACCCCAATGCCTTGGGCAATAGCTATTGAGATGTTACAATTGCATTGCATCAAAATCAAAAGTCGAAGGCATCTCGATGGCACTCTAATTATTGAGCTCAAAATCTGGTGGACAAAGATGAACCCACTCCTCTTGATTAATCCCTACTTCATTTTCAACAACATTAATGGTTAACTGGGCAAAATCATCTTCCACACTTTTTCTTGTATATGGGTAAATGGATCCTCCAAGTCTAAAGGTTTCATACAAGTGTGGGATAAACATCAATCTTGCTGTCTTTCTTGATGGCCTTCTTTTGACTTTCCACTCTGTCATCTCATAGCCTAGGCTTACCCTGTCACTATTGTCTATTATTGTCGGAGGTTCTTTAATTCCTTGCAAATTTTTACCTAGCCCAAGTCCTGGATACCAGCCCTTATTGATGACTTAGCTCACCACTATCTTTGAAAAAGGTTGATTTTGAAATCTTTCTCCTACAGAATTGACCAATTCAAAATATCGATAGGAGCATTCTAATGCTTCTACGACAGCCTCTACATATGGAGTGTTCAATGGTTGGGTTACTAGCATATTTTTTTCCCCAACTACCACTACTAATTGACCTTTCATATTGAACTTGATCTTTTGATGTAAAGTAGAGGGCACAGCTCCTGCCATATGAATCCATGATCTTCTTAACAGACAGCTGTAGGATGAAGAGATATCCATCACATAAAATTTTATATTAAAGGTGCATGGCCCAATTTGTAAAGGCATCTCAATATCTCTTAGGACTTCTCTTTTAGTTCCATCAAAGGCTCTCACAATCATTTGACTGTCTTTCATATGAGAGTAATCAATGGGTAGCCTTGCCAAAGTTGACATAGGCATGACATTGATGGCAGAGCCATTATCGATAAGAACTTTGGCTATAATATGGCTCTTGTACTTGACTGTGATATGCAGAGCCTTGGTATTTCTTTTTCCTTCTGAAAGAATCTCATCATCGTTGAATGAAATGTGATTTGGTATGACTAGGTTTCCAGCCAGGTGGTTCACATATTCAACAGATACGTTATGTGCCACGTATGCCTGATTCAACACTTTCAATAAAACATTTCGATGTGGCTCTGAGTTCAGCAGCAATGATAATAATGAGATTCGAGCTGGCATTTTATTCAACTTTTCCACAACAGAATACTCACTATGTTTTACCAACTTAAAAAATTCACAAATCTCTCTTTCTGATACTGGCTTCAGCTGATCTTTTTCAGGTTCTATCTCAATATTATTTCATCTTTCTCTTTCTTTAGCTTTCTCCTTTCTAGCCTTCTCTAACATTTTTGGAGTGTAACATCTCTCACTTCGAGTAATGCCTCTTACACCAGTTATATTGGAAGCATCGACTTTGGGGACCTCTTCTTTCTGCCCCTGAACTACAGTGTCACAGCCATATCTCCAGGGTACAGTTTTATCATCTTTGTATGAAAAAAGAGTTAGGACTTTTAAAAGTTACCGACCTGGGGAAGAGTTTATCTATGACTGACTTTGGTTTGTTCCCACACTGAATTGTCACTGGTTTTAGAAACAACTTTACAAGTCTATCAGTCATGTACACTTCAGCATTCTTCAAGTCTTCTCTTTCTTCATAAATCTTCATTTGATGTGAATCCAAGAGTTTTTGCACCTCTTGGTGAAACTGCTCACAGGTCTCAATGGAATGGCCCATTGCCCCACTATGATACTTACAACTGATGTCAGCAATATATGCTCCATGATAGCTGTGTGGACTTACCAATTGTATCATGTCTGCTCTTCATAAAATATCGAACAGTTGGTCGAGGGGTGTCTTAATATCTGCCACTTCTTTCTTCACATGATATTTTTATTCTTCACCTATAGCATTCACATTATGATTCGGTAAAGGATTGCCACTAACATTCAACGTAGTCATCCCTTAAGTATCAAAGTAAATCATCCTATCTTTGATCAACCGTTACACTTTATGTTTCAGGGTAGTGCAATTTTCGGTAGAGTGACCAGCAATCTCATAATGGTAGTCACAGTGGGCGGTGGGATCATACCACTTGGGTAAGGTGGCTTGAGGGGTTCCAATTTACTTGGAGCAATCAAATGATTGTTATAGAGCTCCTTATATAATTTCGAATAGGTCATTAGAATTGGGTCAAAAACAAGTCTCTCACGAGTGGTTCGTTGCTCTCGTGAGCCACCAATAGGGTTAGTTGGGCGATTTTAAGGTCTTGGAGTAGGTTGAATGTTAGGACTATACATGGTATATGTTTGGGGTTTGATATGTTTGGGGATATGGTGGTTGTGTAAATAGTTGGTATGGGTGAAAGGATGTGTTATTTACAGTGGGGTGATATGGTAGATATTCTGGTGGTGGGTATAGTGAATAACCTCTAAGTTGTTGTCTATCAAAACTCACAGCCTGAGCTTTAGTTTCTTTTTTCTTCGGGACTCTTTTACTAGATGCTTCATTTCCTTCTAGCTTACCATTCTTGATGACACTCTCAATAATTTCTCCCGAGATTACCATATCAGCAGAATTTTTCGTTGCATTCCCTATCATCTTTTCATAACAAGGAGGTTTTAAAGTGCTAACAAACAGCATTGTAGTTTCTTTCTCTGTTAGAGGAGGTTGTACTTGAGAAGCAACATCCCTCCACCTCTGGGCATACTCTTTAAAAGACTTGTTTAACTTTTTCTCCAGATTCTGTAAAGATAAATGATCAGGGGCCAAATCGATGATATGTCGATATTGACCGATAAAGTCATGTGCCATATCGCTCCAAGAGCGAATGTGAGTTCTGTCCAGCTGAACATACCATCTGACCGCAGAGCCAGTAAGACTGTCCTGAAATACATGCATCAAAAGTTTTTCATCATGTGCATGAGCTGCAATCTTCCTGTAATACATGGTGATGTGGGTTTTAGGGCACTTTGTACTGCCATATTTTTCAAATTTTGATACTTTAAACTTATGGGGAATAACCACATCAGGAACTAGGCAGAACCCAGCAGCATTGACTGACCCATAAAAGCTAAATCCTTCCACAGCCCATAGCCTTTGCTCTAGCATGCTAATCTTGGAGCTTTCATGAACTTCCACTCTTATCTTTTCTTTCTCCTTCTCTTTTAAATCATCTAAATCAGGAATTAGTTCTACTGCATTTTCAATGAAGACAGGATTTACATAGCTATTATACTGCCCTAGGTTAGAAGCTGATAGCATTCCAAGATATGTTGGATATGCGAAGTGTTGTGGCGGGACCTCTTGAGCAGACTGGGCTTGAGGTGGGCTAAAACCTGAAGGGTACAATGGGTCGGCCACTTCTTGTAATGGGGGAACTTGCTGGCTTGTATTTTCTTCAACTCCTTTTCCTTTATTCATGTTATTAAGAGCCTCTAGAATCTTACTTAGTTCATTTTCAAATCTTCTATTGTGCTTTTTCTATCTTTTCAAATCTATGGGATTTTTTCTGCTCCATTTGCCTTGCTCTGGATCTTGTGTTGTATCGATGGGCAGGATTTTCGCTAGATGGAGCTATCCTGAAACCTTGAGTACCATATCTTAGAATTAGTAAATTTGCATGATTATCACATGGTTACTTTGTTAAGTATAATGAATGAAAATACAATGAATGAAAAATGCATGTATGCAAAGAACATTTACCCTTAAAACGGTATTCAACTAAAAATTTTCATTTATTCTAAAAAACTTTGATCTACATTGAGTTTATCATCCTAGAATTATAGCCATAAAATTGTTTGATCTGTTCATACTAGGCCTTGGCTTCTTTTATGAAGTTCAACAGACGTTGTCCATGTTCTCCTACTGGGGTCACCATTTGCTCACTGCCTCTGCCTCTTCCACCATCTCTCTTGCCTTACATACCCCTTTATGGATTTAGGTTGTTAAGTGCTCAATGTATTTTTGCCTTCCTAAGTTCTCTCTTTTACCATACCAGACTTGGTATGATAATTCTCTATGTTCTCTAACCAATGCAGCGATGTGGTCTCCTTGTTCATCCAACTTTTGACTTAGCCTGCTCAAATAACTGTTTAGCATGTTAATTTTTGCCTGTGCTTCGGTGCTTTCTTCTTTCAATTCGGCGTACTCTTACTTCAATATTGTATTTTCCTCAGTCAGCTCGACAATAGTTATCTCTTTGGCTCTTTCTCTCACACATAGTCTCTTATGCTCCTAGTGTAACTTTGCTAGATCTTCAGTAGCTGTATCACGTTCTCTAGCAATCTTGTGAACTTTAACTTCATAATTTTCGGCTCTACCTTTCCACTGGGCTTTTTCTTCTTGAAGTTCCTGAATTTCTTTCTTTAACTTGATCTTCTCAAACTCAAATTCTTTTGTTGCCAGCTCTAACTCTAATGGTGTCTCTTCAAGTTTTTCTTCTGTTGGTGGTTGAGAGATTTCATAAGTGAATACCATTTCTTATCTTCTCTTTGTTCTTCAAACCAAGTAACCTGGGGTGACTTTTTCAGTGAATGGTCCAGGACTCACTCTTTAGGGATTCTTCCATGCTTTAATCATCTCATTCATCCTTTGAAATGCTTTGAAAAACATAATGGGCAATCCGGTAGGCCACTAGGACAGAAATTAACGACGAGAAGCAGTAACTCAAAATGCGGAAAACATAGTACCAAATCTCCGACCGTTTAGTAGTTTCGCCAGCATGGAGCAGTTGGGAGAATACGGAAGCCGATAAAAGCGTATAGCAGGAGCCAAAAAGAGAAAGTGTCATGAGAAGAAGCAAACAGATTGTACGACTTGGGAGGAGATATGCTGTTAAACCAATGGCAGCCCAAAAGATTACAGTGTTGTACAGCCAAGCCATCAGATCAACAGTTCTTCCACTTAAAAGTTCATAAAAAACAACCGTCTTAATTGATAAGGATTCAGATCCATGTGAATTATCTTTCTTACTTGGAGGATTTAAAGAGGCATCGAAAGTGGCAGTTATAATTAGCACAGTAACTACTAAAAATGTGTTGCGCATTTCAATTGGGATATCCTTTTTTCCTCGAGAAGCAGCTGTTGCGAGTTTTTGTAAACATGACATCTTTGATTTGAACGAAGCAATTGAAGAGTTGGGATCTTCGGGAAGAAAGGAACCACGCAAACCTCCAGCATTACTTAGCATGTTAAAAATCTCTGAATCGGCTTGCCTTTGATCCCCTTCTAAGAACAAGATATCTACAGGAGTTAAGCCGTCCAAATTTTTGGCATTGATATAGTCATGATGAAAATTTTCCACCACTATTTTTGCCACCTGGTAAATACGTTAATTAGCCATGATATACATAAGTCAATTGGAATGGATATATGGGAATAATGGGATAGCTAGCATATATACCTGGGGTCTATTTCTGATAACTGCAATGTGCATAACAGTGTTGCCTTTAGTGTCCCCCCAACTCAGTAGTTCCTCTTCCCAACGTTGGGAAGCTGCATGGCGGCTCCTCAGAAGCCACCCCACCAAGACTTCAAAAGCTTCAAACATGTCGTTTTTAACCATAAGATGGAGAGCAGTTTCATCTCGAACAGTCACATCTTCAATAGCCTCGGGACAGACATCAAGAAACTTTATCAAAAGATCAAGGTTTCCAGTTCGAGCTAAATGATGCAAAGGAGTCAGTCCCTCCCTCCCTTTGACACGAACGAGGCCTTTATCAACCTTCAGGAGTTGAAGCACTACTTGTATTTTTTCATTTTGCAAAGCTAAGTGCATGGGGGTAAACCCACCTTTGTTAAGCTTTCTTGCAAATGATGGCTTTAAGATCATCATCTCCATCACAAAATCAACTTGCCCAGCACAGGCTGCTACATGCAATGGGGTATCAACAAAAGGAACCTGATCAATATGCTCTAAAACGTATGGATCTTCCTGAATTAGTTCATACATAACGTTAATATTTCCTGTTTGTGCAGCCTCTATCATCCTTGAATCCATAACAATGGGGATAATAAATTATGCAGCAAATTTCAGGCTACCGAAAACTAAAAAAAATTTGCTAGAAAAGACCTCAGCAGTTGAAAGAATAATAAGGAAACGTAGGATAATATAAAAATGGAAATACGAAGCTACATATATAGAGATCTTGTCTCTTTTCTCCTTTTTTTTTTTTTTCTTTTTGAAGTTAGCAAACTACAGCAATCTACTCACAATTTTTGGCATTCATATAGTCATGATGAAAATTTTCAAGCAATATTTTTCCAAATAACACCTTGCTTTTTTCTTTGTTTGTCTTTTGCTTGTTCAACTAACAGTCTCACATTATATATTTCAGCATGCATGCTGGCAATAATTGAGAGATGGACTTTTGACATACAACTAACAGTCCTACAAATATTGTGCTTTGATAATTTAGTTTATTTTTGACATACGATAAACATCCAATTACTAAACGCTGAGACTTTTGTTTTTCTGAAGGTAGTAAAGGCTGAGACTTAATAAAAGCTACATGGTAAGTCAATGGTGGCATTTTGGTTAGATAGTTTTTGCTGTTTCACATTGTCTTCCTTCCATGTTAAAATTGGAATTCTAGATATCAAATATGGAAACTCAAATTCTAACCGCATAGACATTCATATTTTACTTGTTCTATTACTATTATTTCTTAATCTTTTTCTCATTGATAAAGTTATGTATGGCTTTTTTTTTTTAAGTTGAAAAAAAGAATTTGCAGGTTGCTTTTTTAGTAAGAAAATATGCATCAATTGAACCAAATACTCAGTCCATATAAAGCTAATGTTTTAGTTGGGATATGTCCCAAAAACCTCTAAATTATTACAAATTTTTTAATATAATACTTAAAATAAAAAATATGTAATCAAGTACTTAATTTTTTTTTTTTTTTGTCTAGCTATTTAGCACACGATCCCGTTGAAAAACCTTTCCGTCCAACATTTTGTTCAATTAGTAACTCACAAATGTTCAAGAAATTTCACGTCATTGGTGACATGGATTGACGTGTGGCCGTTCACATGACTTTTATTACCCAAAATAAAAGTAAATAAATAAAAAGGCATGTGAACAGCCATATGTTAATCCATGCCACCAATGATGTGGAATTTTTTGAATATTTGTCGGCTTTAATTAGCCAAATGCTAGATGGACAATTTTTTTTAAAGGAATTGAGTCGTGGGCTTAATAGTTAGACCAAATTGAAGTTCATCATGCTTGATTAAAAAAATTACAATAGTTTAATTATTTTTTCTTTTACATTATCCCTAATTTAGTTACATGTAATTAAAGAAATCCTAATCTTTTCTTAACATGATGAAAAAATCTAAATCTTTGTCTTAATATGATCGTTCGCAATGGTGAATTTAGATGAAAATTTTAAAAATTTTAAAATAAATTTTAAATTAAGAAATTTTTAAAATGCGTCAATTTAAAATTAATAAAATTTACTAGAAAAGACCAGAGGATAATATAAAAAAGGAAATAAAAACCTATATATATATATATATATATATAGAGAGAGAGAGAGAGAGATCTTTTCTCTATTTTTTTTTCTTTATATCATAGGTAAACAATTTTATTAATTAGAAAACTACAGCACTCTATTCACTTGTCGTTGATTCAACTTCCTAGTGAATGATGGCTTGAAGTTCATCATCTCCACTGCAAAATCAGTGTGAACTGCAGCTGCAGCTACGTGTAATGGAGTATCAACAAACTCCATCTAATCTATATGCCTCAAAACATCAGCGTTATCCCGAATTAATGTATACAAGGCATCAATATTTCCCGATTGAGCTGCCATCCTCAACCCTTCATCCATAGTAAAGATCCAATAACTATCATATAGACAAATAATGGAAAGAGTTTAGTCTACTTATATCAGTTATGGAGTAGACAGACAAAACGAAGTAAATATGGAGTTTGGTTTCATTTTCACATAGTTTCTGTGGTTGAGGGAGAACAATGGTACATCCACTCAATCAGAGTGGCCTTATCTATCGTGCATGCCCACAGAAAGCAGCCATTTTCAAAGTTGTTTTGCACTTTGACTCATTCCATTTATTGGGTTTATTCCACTACCAAAAATCATCCGTCTTTATGCTTCCGGGGGCCTTGTAGAATGTCCTGTTCTCATTTGATCCCTTAAGAAGTGAGGTCAGTCTGGTTTATTGTTCGAGTCAAGACATAATTAAGGTTTTTTAGATTAATTTGCAACATCAAATCTTCTATCTTATAATTGAAAATTAACCAGGGACCTGAATCATGAAAAGCAACCAATAAAAGCAAAATATATTGAATTTTCCGAAGAAGTAAAATTAATTTGGAGACAAAAGTTAGAGTTGAAAATGATGGATGCATTGAAATTTCCTCCACTTGCTTTGATTAAATCACTCAATGACTTGTATATAAAGTATTAAGGTAAAAGAGGAGGAAATTGCCTTTTTTTTTTTTCTTTTATTTGTTATCAAGATTTGAACTTTGATTATTGAAATTAAATGTTCAGTATTTTATCGAAAGGCAGACAGTCATTATGTCTTAAAAGGTCTTAACCTCCCAAAGTTTTGATAACCCTATACATATATATATATATATATATATATATAAATTAGTCCCTTCTAAATTAAAGTTATTAATTTTATTTATTTGTTGGTTTTATAATTTACTTTTATTCATTGTAATTTAAGAGGATTAATAAAATCATATTGCCATTTTTTAATTTATTATACACACCAATTATTACTTATAAATCTTTAAAATCAACATATTTGTTGTAAATTATCAATCACAATTATGTGAATTTAAGAAAAATCAAATTACCTTTTTTATTTTCTTAACAAGACTTCAAATTTTCAATTAAGTATCAAATGTATTTTTTCTTTTTTTTTTTAATAATTTACTACAATATCTTAACTCCATATAATTTTTCACTTTTAATTTTTACTCTAGATCTTTTTTCATGTTATACTCCAATATTTTTTTCAAAAAAAAAAAAGGTTTAAACCATTTTGTAGTAGATTTGATTAAACTCTGAATTTCAAAATTTTAACTTCGTTCTTTTAAAAATTTTATTTATTTTTTTATTTCTATAAAAAGATATTATTTAACGATTGATTTATTAATATTTTTTATTTTAATTTTTGATAAAAAAATAAGTGTGTATATATATATATATATATATATATAACTTATATCACAAAACCAAATGCTTGCTATTTTTTTCATTCTTTCTTAGGAAATTTTTGATATTTTTAAAGTTTTGCTGAAGGGAAATTCTACAATTTCTCATTCCTGTTTACCTTAACTTTTCATTTTTTTTTTTCTTTCTTTAGATTTCCTACTCTCTGTCAGTTTTTTTCAAAAATGACTCAAAATTTTGTCATTTTTTGAGCAATTAATATTTTATTATTTCTTTTATATTTGGTATTAATATTTTTTTTTTACTTTTTGATATTAAAAGTTAGGTGGAGAATAAATTCTTTAATACTAAAGTAACTAACCATAAGAGAGATTTATGTCATTAACTTTATAATACTACACATATGGTTATTTGAAAAAAAAAAAAAACCTCCTCAATCGAAAACAAAAATAACAAAAAGAACAGCAAGAATTGGGTGGGGAATTTTTTTTTTTTTTCCTTTTTGAAAGCACCAAATAAACCCAAAGTTGCGCTCAAAAGAACCCACTCCTACAACATCCAAGCCCACAATTAAAATCCAAACAAAATCACAGAAAATAAAAACGAAAGGAGACAGAGGGATGGAGATCAACATTGTCCTGATTCATTTTTAACATTGCCTTCATTCTAGCACTGATTTGTTGATTTCTCCAGAACTTCTGTTAACTTTCTTTATTTTTAGCAGCCAATAGAGATGAGCCCCAAATAACCAACATCCAGAGGCAGCAGCAATCGCCAAAGTGAGCCAAATGAAATAAGTAAACTTGGGAGTTGGGGTAATGACGAGAGTCGACATGACATAGCAAATGACTATTGGCACCAGGGGAAAAAGAACCACTTCACCATTTGGACCAATTATAAGGAATAGAACCGTCAGGAAAAGTGTGGTGAGAAATGCTGCAGTGTTTGGAATATAAAACCAAAGAAAACTATTTGTATCCATGATTGATCTCCCTGCTTCACTCGGAACCTCAGTGGAACCTGCCTCAGCTTGTCGAACACCACCTGGCGGGTTGAAAATGGCTTGGTAGGTTGCTGTTATTACTAAACCGGCTAGGACCAGGAAAGCATTGCGTGTGTCACTTGGTATATTGAGTCTGGCCCGGGTTACAGTTATCATTAATCTTTCAGAAAATTCAACCTTTGATCTCAAGAGCTCAGCCAAGGGTCTAGATTTGGAAATTGAGTAAGCATTTAAACCTCCAGCCTGGGATAGAATGTCCTCGGCCTCCCTGTTACCAACATGCCTTCGGCGTTGTAAAATATCCAAAGCCGTCAAGCCACTCAAATTGATTATGTTCTTTCGAACCCCACATTCCAACAATAGTCTTATCATCTACTCAACATATTCATATAGGAAACAGAAAAAAAAAAAAATTGCCTCCATTAATTGACAAATAAATTAAACCTAATGCAAGAAAATTCTATAATTAGTTGGTATACGTATAGCAGTAAATTTTATCATCAGAATGTGACTTGTCACATAGTTTTAAGTTCATTCACGACTTAAGAAATTGATTTCTTTCATCTAAAACATTTTGAATTTGTTTCAAGTTCATCCGTCAATTTACCATTAAGATTTGGACAAAATTTGTCATGTGTATGTCCAGTAGAGCGCCACATGGCAAATTTCGTTTATATTCTATTCAAATTCTGACATAACATTAATGGATGGAAAGATTGGAACAAATTCAAAAGGTTGAAAATGAAAATATTAAGTTTTTTAGATCATAGATGAAAATGAAACATTATGAACGATCAAGGACTATATATAATGATGCAATTTACTGGTTAATATAGTTAATTAGAGAAGATATTTGAGATCATGCCTCAACTTGATTTTCGGTGTTGGATGCAACTACGTGCAATACTGTGTTGCCTTCCTTGTCTTTCCAGTTCATGACTTCTAGTTCCCAGAAGCCACCATCTTTGTTATGAGTCCTTCGTAGCCAACGAGCCAAGAGTTCAAGAGCTTCAAGCTTGGTTTTTTCTGCTGCAATATGCAAAGCAGTCTGACCTCCAACAGTTACATCAATGATGCATTGAGGGCAAGCCGCAAGGAACTTAGCCAAAAGATCGGCGTCTCCTTGTTCAGCTGCGTAATGCAGAAGGGTTACACCTTTTTTCCCCTTGACTCGAATCAGCTCTTTGTTGATTTTCAGAAGCTCAAAAAGCAACTGATTTCGGTCATTCTGCAAAGCAAGGTGCATTGGAGTAAAACCATCAGGATTCAGCTTTGTGGCAAATGATGGCTTTAAGTTCATCATTTCCACTGCAAAATCAACTTGCCCTGCAGCTGCAGCTGTGTGCAGAGGAGTATCAAAGAAAGGAACCTCATCGATGTGCTCCAAAAGGTGTGGATCTTCCCGAAACAATTCGTACAGATTGTCGATATTTCCTGATTGCGCAGCTTCCCTCAATTTCCCATCCATGGCAGGAAAAATCTGCTGGAGCAGCGTTTTCCATGCATTGATAAATAAACTACTAATAGTGTTTGTCTTCTTCACTTTTTTGGGCAACAAGCTTGGAATCTAGACATTCTCAGCCACGGTCTTTTAGCCCCACAAAATTGATATCAAGGATAAACTTTTGAATGATTGGTTCCTTTAAAATATTTCTTTTTAGCTTTTAGATTCATTTCCTGCTTTTTCTTTTTCATTTTAAAAAATCGAGAAAGGGTTAAAATTGCTGGAATTTTAATTTCAGACTTATTAATATCGCATCTAGCTGCATGAACCACTAATATATATAAGCTACAGATGCAAACATTTTCTTTTGATAAAAATAAAAAGATTATGTATAACAATGAATATATACCACAAAATAAATTTTCATTAATGCAATTTTCACCATTATATTTTCAATTCAATGATATTTGGCCTATTCATGTTTCATTGATGCAGACCAAGATGCTAAGCGTATGTGCAAAGAAAAAACAGAGCATGTAGGGACATGTCTGTTTAACATTCTTTATTGGAGAGATTCTAAAGCATGGCTAAAGAAAAAGATTGTACAATCTGCATAAATTCTTTGTTTACCATAACTTTTGCACTTTTATTTTATTGTGTTTTGTACTTCATTCCATTGAACCAGATAGATCTTATCAATACAAATCATAACTAAATATAGAAACCCAACATAAAGTAGTTTGAGTTCAACAAGAAAGTAGTTCATAAATATTCCCCGATATTGAACCCTGCTGATTAACAAATTCACGTATGCTAAATGAGAAAAAGTTCCGGTTCCGATTACTGCTGGCCCTTTATTGTGTAATGCTTGTGAAATTGATCTTCCTTCATTAGTGGCATTAATAGTTTTGGTTGGGTTCAAGCTAACATTTGAGGTAGAGGAACTAGTGTTATCCCCTTGCCAAACACCTCCAGGTGGACTCAATGAATCTTGGTAGATGCCTGTTATAATTAGTATGTAGATTTGTCAATTTTAAAACCGACATGGTAAATAATCTGAAAACGACACGAAAATAAGATTGCTTAAAATTTAATAAAAATTTTATATGTAATTAATAAAAATAAAAAATATATTTTATATTTGATGTATTAACATAAATTATGATATAATAATTTGTTTCTTTTATATATATTAAATATAAAATAAATAAATATAGATATATAAATTATCAGATCTAATGTTGCGTCGTGGATTGGCTTTCTTTTCCTTATATCAAGCTAAATATATAACTAATTTGTAAACAATGACTTCTTTGATCTATAGTGCTCGCTGTTAGATGAAAAGCAAAAACATAATCTCTGCTATTAATAAAAGAAAATTTATTTTGTCCAATAAAATTTTTAAACTTCATAAATGAGATTATAAGTAAAATATTACTATATAATTTAGTATTATGAAATTACACTAATAATATATTAAATATTAATTCTTAAAAAAAATCACTATGGTTAATAATTTACTTATATGTTAATAAAAAATTACTATATTTTATAAATTGCTGTGTTTAAACAATATTAAAATTATTAAATTTTGTAACTATTATTATATGTTATTTTGGAGCTTCAACAAAAGAATATTTAATTTTTATTAATAATATATATAATAATTTTTAATTTTAAAAAATAAATAATTATTAATTAAAAAAATAATTTTAAATTACGAATAATAGTATAACCACAATAATAATATGATCATCTTTATATTAAGTCAAAATACTCGACATAATAATACTACTCAAAACCCATAAACAATGTTAGATGCTTCCTCTCGTGGGCTAAAATATACAAACAAACTAAAGCATTATTGGTGATAAAGATCACACATACAAAACAAATCAAGCCAAAAGTATACATAGTCAAAAGTCATCTAAAACATTATCGGTGTGTTTGATATATACAATTATAATAAGATAAAATAAAATAATATTATAAATTAAATTAAATTAAAAAAATTAAATTATTTTACATCAAAAAATAATTAATTTATTTTATAATTATATTTTTTATATAAATTAAATATGATATAAAATAATTAATATTTTATTTTACTTATCATCTTATACACTACTCATGACCTATATATATTAAAGATGAACCAGCAATTTAAAGCTAGTACTTCGTATTAATGTGGTCGTGCTTGCGAATGCGTACTCTGTCACCAAATTCTTCGCTGTACACCTTCTTACTCCTAACTTTACTCTTGACAATGAAAATCCCAATAATTATTGTGATTACTACGAAGCAGCAAATACACCAACCCCAATATTCGAAGTCGTCAATGAAAGCGACAACCCCATCGATGCCACGAAGAAGATAAACACAAGCAACAGTAAAACATTAAGCAGCTGACCGTATGGAACCCAAGGGAGGATAAACAGTGTCACTGAAAATGTTACCAAGAAATTGACAGCATTGAAGATGGAGAAAATGTTAGATAAAATAAATAAGAGAAGAAAAATAATAAAAAAAATTTGATTTTGAGATATAAATTTTTTTTTAAAGATAATTATATCTTTAGAATATAATAAAATTTCAAAATTTTCAATCAGTAATAATGAAAATAATTATATTAAAAAATTTATTTATAATGAATAAATATATATAAACTTTTAGTTAGATGGTGATGACTTTATGTATAATAATAACTTTTATATATAATATTTATTTATATTCAAATAATTATGACCGTTTGTTATATAATAATTATTTATATTCAAACATAATTATTTTGAATATAAATAAAATTAATACGAAAAGTTAACTTTACTCATTAATAACTAAATCTTTCTATCTAATGTAGGATGTACCACATTCTAAACTACCAACAATCCTCCACTAGTTTGAAATATTAATGCTTAATCTTTAACTTTTCATACAAATAAATATTATGAATACAGAAGATATCTCTCGATTTAAACTTTCAATTAGTGTATATATCTTAAAATTCTAACAAAGTTGATGGTATTCACAGAATAAACCTTAACTCCTAATATTAGAATTGAAGACATAACACACATAATACTTATTTATTCTTTGGTCAGAGGTTTATAATCATTTTTAGCACTATTATGGTCATGTGTTTATCATATTTATAAATATTTACAAGAGAAACTCCAATTTTTAATATTGAAGCAACATCACTTTTATGTTTATATAAGTAGAGTTTTCATTATGTCTCAATTGCTTTAGACATTTATAACTCCATTAAGAGTATAAAAACTCATCCTCATCATGCAATGAATTACACTAGTTTTTAAAATTTAAATGAATTTTATATTAGTACTTTATAGACATATAACAATAACTTGTTTTTACCCATTAAACTTTGTAATTAGAGGTTACTAATTCAAAGTTGGTTCCCGTTATTGGTATCTAATAGTAAGGGTTTAAATTCATTCTACTTGTAGTACTACTATCTAAATATCTTGGAATTCAGTTTTCTTTTATGGTAATTACTTCACTTGAAATTGAATCTCTAATATAATCACTTCAGACTAATATGTCCAAATTTTTAATTTTGTATATCATTTATATACTCTAGACATTGTTGCCTCATTCTTATCATTTTAAGAAATAGTTGATTTTGGTTGTGGTTACAACTTTATACTCATAAATTTCAACCATTCTATTTTCATACTTTTATACATCTTTAATAAAATTATACTTCTAGTACAATTGGATAAACTAAATGAATAAATCAAACCATTTTAGTCCCTTTAAGATTTTTAAAGACTTTTTATTATTTTAATTTAATAAGTGTCTAAACTTATTAGCTTGTATAATTTGGTTGTAAAATTATACTAAAATCTCACAATAATATGGTAGTAATTTTTTATTTCTTTTGATTTTTATCACCCCCACTATGTGCAAATATGCATTCTTTTATTAAAGAATGTCTCATTCAATTGTCAAGATATCATATATACTTAATCAAGTTGCCATTTCATTTATCTTTTCACTATTTACTTTTTTTTTTTTAAATATGAGGCCTCTAAATCCACCTTTAGTGAAAGATAACTAGCAAATATCTTAACATTTCTATAAAAGTTTCAAAACTTTTATATTTTAACTCAATATAAAAATTTACATTAATAAGTAGATTTCAAATATAATTATGCTTTTATAATCTCCTTTTAAGACTTTTTATGTCAATTCATAAATACTTATATGAATATATTTCATCATGGACACTATTAATAATTTTTATAACCATGAACATAACCATTTCTATCATACAAATAGATCAAATAGCTTTCTTTTTGCTATTATAAAAGTTTTCATATTCACAAAATCTTTGAATCACTCATGGCTTCCAAAATGAATATATTTTAAAAATTTCACTATATAAAACCATATATAATAAATCATTTGTACAATCCATGAATTAAACCATATACATAACAAAAAGTTACCACAACATGATCAAGATTATGGTATCAATTTTGGCTTATGGCTATAAGCCAACCATAATAATCCATATCATACCTACAAAATCATGTAAATTTAGCTATTGGATTTATCTCATTTATAGTGATAGCTTTTAGTGAAAATCAACAATCTCAAATGTTATTATAGGTTTCCAATGCATATATTAATTGCCCAATGACTAATTCTAAGTTCATGACTATTGAAACCTCTAAATTTAATTTTAAAATTTTATGATAATATTATTTTTCCATCATTGTGCAGCCTATATATCTCTGTTATTTACCACTTTTAATTGGTCATAACATTTTTGGATATATAATAAATTAAAGCTTTACTTATAGGACCAATGTACCTATGAACAATAAGAGTGTATGGTATATTTAAATCCAATTTCAAATACTTTCACAATCATTTTGTGATCAATATGTTCATATCTAGATCACCATATCAACTTAAGTCATGAAATATAAATCCAAAGAATCATTTTCATAAAATAGTGTAAACAATAATTATAATATGAGTTATACTCCTATTTTATGCAAAAACTCAATGATGAATTTGTATTGGTTAAATCATTAATTAGTTAACTCGAAGGCTTACGGGTTTCACAAACCAATATTATTATCTAAGCCAATATGTTAATATGGTGTATAATCAACTAAATCATTGCCATTGTCATGAAACTCTTGAAAACCTCGAAAACTTATTCACTTTTTATTTTAACAACCTACAAAAAGCCATTTTTCTAAGTATAAGAAGCAAAAATATCTTCATTGTTTTTAACCAATAATATATTAATTGGATGAGGGCATTCTATCTCCATAGTCCTATCTTTCTTATATGTATAAGAAAGAAAATTTTACCACATTCAGTTCATTTTCGTAATATATGGCAAACTGTAGCAAT